CCCTTAGATGCCCAGGAAGGAAATAATATTGATTGAATAAGCAGGAAGGTTGAGCAAATGTATATAAAATATATAAAAGAAAGAATCTTCATATATCTAAAATTAAAATACATTCCAGAAAAGCCATAATTATGTTCATGCAGGAGCCCTCAGGTTCCATAGACCAGCAGTTACTCAGCTTTGGGAAACATATATGTATTTTTTCAGTAAAAATTTGGAAATATCTAAAATAAACACTGAAAAGTCACAAGGAGGTCATTAGTTTATTTCTATAAAGTTAATTCTCTAATAATTCTGTCATGCAGATCTAAAAAATTGCATAATTTCCAATTTTAAATCCTGACCGGTTAATAATAAAATGCTATTAACAGTAACAACAAATAGATAGAAATGTGTAATAATAATGATAATAATAGTTGCAGAAGAGGCATGAATTAGAGAGAGAGTGCGTGGAAAGCATGGGAGGAGGTAGAGGGCAGGACTGAAGAATGAAAATGTTATAAATACAATAAGCATATAGAAGATTCTAAAAAGTACTTAAAAAGATTTAAAAAGGAATGACAATCAGAGAGGGCTAAGGAGAATGAGAGAGTGGGAAATAGTTGCCATGAGGGTGGTCATGAAAGGATACCAGGAAGCCTCTTCTGAGAGCGCTCTCCATCACTGAGCAGTCGTCTCCTGATTCCTGGCATGAAGGCAATGTCTGATATTCTGTAATCTCATAGGGCCAGAGTGAAGTTTCACACCACGCGTTCACTTGAGTCTACCGTATTCGACAAGGAGCATGGAGGAGTCAGGTGTTGTAAACTGATAGTAGTCAGGGGACAGCACAGACACCTCCTATAATCCTCTGTCCTAGAGTGGGCTGCAGGAGACGAGGCCTGACTGAGCCTGTGGAAACCTGGGCTAAAGCTGCATACATGTGTCCTAACACAAAGTTACAGAGACCGTGCTTTGACGGTGGATGGGAGCTCAGAGTATGGCTGGAGTCTTCTAATTGCAGCTTGAGAAGGGACCAAGTGTTTGTTTTTGTAACCTAAAGAGAAGACAGATGGGGACAGAAGCCCTTGGTGAACTTGAAACAGTAAGGAGAGGGGGAACTAGATTGTTTTATACTCAAAGTTTATCATCATCGGCCGTTATATTCTGGAGACTCATGTTCTCAACTATGGCAGGTTCGTCGTCTAAAGGAAAATCAGGTCACTGTGGGCCACCGAGATGGTTCAGTGGGTAAAGGCACTTGCTGACAAAGCTGTCATTCTGATTTCAATCCCCAAAGCTAACTTGGTGGAAGGAGAGGACCAATCCCCTCATGTCATCTAACTTCCATACATGTGCAGTAGCATTTTCTCATCAATACACTGATGTATGCACCGGTAAACACACATATCCTCTCTCTTTCTTTCATACACATATCTAAAATGCATAAAACTGTAAATTAAAAGTCACACTGTGGCATTAGCCTATTTTCCTATGCAGCAACATGGGTTCCTTCCAATCAGTGCCCTTGTGTTATCACTCATTCGCTCAGCTACCCTTAGGCATTGACACAGATCACCCACACAGATACATAGTTTAGCGAGGGATTCGTGTTCTATCCCAAGCACATGCAGCCTGGCCCAACATAGAGCTAGAATGGGCCGGGTGGGATTTAGCCTTCCAAGAGAGACTCAGGGTGATGAAGATAGGGGACACGTCAGATTAAGGCTCAGAGCACACATGAGGGCCCAGTGGGATTTTTTTGTGTGCTGTGCCAGCGATGGATCAAGGGCTTGTGTATACTACATCTGCACTCTTCTACTAATGTGCACCCCAGCTCTGTTTGGCACCTGCTCAACTAAGGAAATTCAATGGGTACTGGAGCCTTGTGTAAACCAGGATTTTCACATTTCTTTGCAGTAATGACATGTGGCTTCATTTTGTTTGTACCAGATGGTTCAGATGATCTGTTCATGCTGCTCCATTTTATTCAGGGCCAAACACCAACCTCTACTGTAATGTTACATCATTCACCTGCACAGTACTTGGGCTTATCCATGGAGAGGCCCAGATATGCTGCCAAGAGCTCTTTATCTTCAACATCTTTAGTAATACTTGTAAGCCCTATATTTCCCATGTCTAGAACTCAGCCAATGGCATCAATATGTAAAAATGAAGAAAATTGCAGGTCTTGGGAAGTGGATCATTGAAACGACATCATGACATCATTGAGCTTTGAGTGAAAATTCGGCTTTATGGATAGAGGTAGAAATTAATTCCAAGACTGCATCATAGGCACAAAGGAATCCAATCCTGTTACGAGATCCCAGCTATGATTCTTCCTCCTGTCTTTGCTTTTATGATTTTTTTTGGCTCACGTTGGACTGGTATTGGGATATCAAGTGGGGGATTCTCCGAGGAAGGAAGAACTTTCCAGGTAGAGAGTCTTTCTTTAAGGTGAAGAAGAGTTTTTTTTTTTCATTCTGTCCTTACCTCATGCATTCCTGTCTCTCATTTGTGATCATGATCTCTTTGATCCAGAAGGAGCACCCAGAACTGTGAGCTATGCTCATGTTCCTTTACCACACATGCTTCCCGATCCCGCGCTGTCTCACCTGGTAATTGGCCTCTGTTCTGAGGCCAGAAGAGGGAGGATATGAATGTGTCTTGGAGGCCTGTCCTGAGTCAGGATGAAACTTGTGTTTTGATAATGCTGTTTCATTAACTCTTCACAGTGTCAGTTGTGGAGATCACAATGTCCCTGAGGTCAGTATCCGAGAAGTGGGAAACATCACACTCAGAGTGGATATTCTTGAGCTGTACCCTGGCTCTGAATGGGCACCAGCACATGTGATGACTGTGGCAAACGAAGAGGGACCCTCACCTGGTAAATGGGGAACTTCATCTGCAATATCCCTGTGATGAAGAGAACTTAACAATTTGAAATAGTTTCTTGGTTAGCATTAACTACCTCAAACTACCTGGATAGAAAACAATCCCCAGGCACAGGCCCCACTAGTCAAAAAACAGGTGAGTGATCCACCTGAAAGCTCTCATTAGATGCTAAAAGGCCTTTAAAAAATCCAACACTCCTTTGTGGTAACCATCTTGGAGATAACAGGGATACAAGGGACATATCTAACACAGTAAAGGCAATGTACAGGACACCAATAGTGAACATCACTAAATGGAGAAAACTCAAAGCAATTCCACTAAAATCAGGGACAAGACAAGGCTGTCCACTCTTGCCATATATATTTAAGAGAGTACTTGAAATTTAGCTAGAGCATTAAGACAACTGAAGTAGATCAAGGGGATATAATCTGGAGAGGAAGATCTCAAAGTATCACTATTTGCAGATGATATGATTGTATACATGACACACACAAACAGTCCTACCAAGGAATCCATAGACCCAATAAACACCTTCAATGAATTGGCTTATTACAAAAGTAACTAAAAACAAAACAAACAACAACAACAACAAAACAGTAGTCTTATATGCAAATAATAAAGTAGCTGAGAAAAACAAAACAAACAAACAAACAAAAAACATGGCTAAAACATCGTTTACAGTGTCCACAAATAGAAAATATCTTTTTACTCTAATCAAGTGTTGTGGTCTGAAAGGAAATGGTCCTCAAAAGGAGTTTTACTATTAGCAGGTATGGTCTCATTCAAGTACGTGTGGCTGTGTTAGTTGAAGTGCGTTACTGTGGAGATGGGAGTTGAGGTATCCTTTGCTCAAGCTTTGCTTTTGTGACAGACAGACCATTCTCTGTTGCCTGGAAGATGTATGACTCTCAACTATTTCCTCAAACCCCTTGTCTGTTTACATGTTGTCATTTTCTCTGGCATGACGATCATGGACTGAACCTCTGAAACTGTAAATGAGCCACCCCAATTAAATATGTTCCCTTGTAAGAGTGGCAGTGGTCACAGTTTATTTTCACAACAATAGAAACCCTAACTGAGACACCAAGCAAATGAAAATCCTTTATGATAAGAACTTCAGGTCTTTGAAGAAAGAAATTGGAAAAAAATTCATAAGATAGAAAGATCTTCTATGTTCATGGGCTGATAGGATTACTACAGTAAAAATGGCCATCTTACCAAAAGCAATCTACAGATTCAATGCAATTCCCTATCAAAATTCTAACACAATCCTTGACAGATCTTCAAAGAACAATACTCAATTTCTTATGGAAAGTCAAAAAATCCAGGATAGCTGAAACGCTCCTATACAGTAAAGGAACTTCTGGAGGCATCACCATCTCTGCTTTCAAGCTCTACTATAGAGCTATAATAATAAAACCCATATTGTATTGGCACAAAAACAGACAGGTGGATCAACGGAAAGGGGGAAATGGGTAAGGGGACTGGGAAGAGAGGAAGGAATGGAAACCCCACACCCAACATATAATGCTAGAATGTACTCTTGATACCCTCCATAGGAAGATAGATTCCACAGTCCTTCCAAGGACACACAAGTCAACTCTTCCCCAACAATGACCACGTGCAACTCCTCACACAACTGGTGTTGTTTCAGCCCTCACAGGCATTTCTGTCACCTTCCTGCAGGGAGTACGTATATACTACCTTCCCTGAGCGCTGAGAACACAGGGCAGACTGGGTGTTCACATGGATCTCTGTGTCACAAGAACACATAGGCCACATGGAGGCTCTCTCTGGTGCTGACAGACCAAGGCCAGGACACAGAAGGTGCAAGCCCTGGAATGAGCTATTGTTCTCTGAGGGCATGGGGATGCTTATCAGCGTTGTTGCTCAATGTGTTGTTTGGAGGAGACATATAAAGGGAAGTTGTGCGGATGAGGGGCAGCACTGAGATTGGAAGGGTTGAGCAGTGCCTTGGACTCAGGCCCCATTGCTCACAGCCCATTGGATCCTGGCACGCACTTCTCTCTGGGAAGTGTCTCAGCCCAGAAGGAAGAACACCAGATCCTAAGTTCTGTGTTGGAGCTGAGGCTCTTCTCCTCAGAGGCAGGACAGCAAGGGAGAAGATTGATGGAGGGGTCCTCTGTGCTTCTCTGCAAGGGGTCTACCCCCTGGCAGGGGCTTCTGCTTACAGGTAAGGGCAACCATTTTCTGCCTGTGTGAGGAGGGAAACTCAGAAGCAGACTGGAGTCTCCTAAAGAGGACAGGACCTTGAGAGAAGATTCAAGGCCTCTGTTTGTGGTTGTGGTGCAGAATGCAGAGTGAGGGACAGAGGCTCAGCAGCCTGAATCTCTCAGTGGACAGGAGGTGATGATGGTAAGAGAAGAGCCTCAAACTCTCTGTATTCACAGTATTTTACATTGGCTCCAGTTTTCAGAAGACATCTATTCCCAACCCAGGCAACATGACCCTACACATAGAAATCAAACAGGGAGGGCTAGTAAGATGCCTGAGTGTGTGAAGGTATGAGAACATGAAACCAATACTCATCCTTCGCACATTTAATGGAGAGAACAGACTCCTGCAGGTTCTATTGTATTCCACACATAGATGATGTGGTTGCACACACACCTGCACACCCTGGCAATGCACCCCTACACAGACATGTGGCATATATATTCATATGTGCACAAGGAGACACATATTTTTATAAGTAAATCTAAAATCACTTATTCACACTTGAATATTATTATTGTCATAAGCTCTAAACCTGGGAACTATGAAGACAAATCCATCGAGCCACATTCCTCCATCCCTTCTTCCTTCCTTTTCTACTTAATCCACTTGTGTCTGAGTTTTTTTCAAGAACTGAAACTTCCTAAAATGTCAGACTAATCCTACCATTACAAATTTCTTGTTCTTCTGGGTGGTGGTGGCTCCAGCTTTTAATCGTAACACTTGGGAGGCAGAGGCAATTGATCTCTATGAGTTCAAAGCCAGTCTGGTCTCCAGAGCATGTTCCAGGACATCCAAGCTACATAGAGAAACCCTGTCTCAAAAACCCAAAACTAAACCCAAACCCCAAACCAAAACCAACCAACCAACCAAACAACCAACTATAATTCCCTGGTTCAAATGGGCCTGATGTCAGTATATCAAAAATATGAAGCCATGGGCTGGCTAGTATCACAAAGGGAACAGAGAAAAAGTCAGAAACTGAGGCCTCTTTAGAGGTGGTGTTCAGAGAGTCATTGCTTTTCACACCAGACTCTCTATGTGAGGAGGAATACGGGACCATGAGTGGGGAACCAGGCAGACAGCTAAGCAGAGAATTCCTAAGAGAGTGACTGACACACTCAGACACTCTGAGTCAATGGAAGTCACGCTGCTCATGTCTGCAAAGGAGGGTGGGCACCCCCCCACACCAAAGCTGAGTGGTGATGATCACATTTGCTTAATATTGGTGTTTTTTCTCAATTCTCTTCTAGCCTCCTTTTTAACCTTCTGGCACCTGTCTACCACTGCCCACGTGACCACTGAATTAATGCCATCTCAAGTGGCAGAAGGAGAAAACGTCCTCTTTCTTGTTCATGATCTTCCTGAAAATCTTACAGTCTTTGCCTGGTTCAAAGGGCTAAGAAGCATGAAACATGGAATTGCAATGTACTTACTGCGCCACAATTTAAGTGGACCAGGGCCTGTGTACAGCAGTAGAGAGACCATATATCGCAACGGATCTCTGCTGCTGGAAAAGGTCACCCAGAAGGACACAGGATTCTATACCCTACGCACCTACAACAGACGTGCAAAAATCATATCAACCACGTCTATATACCTTCATGTGCATGGTAAGTGATTTGTTGTGAACTCTGTGAGCTGGATGGGATTCATTTCACTGGACACACAGAAACTTCTCAGTGTGGCTGGATTTATGTTGTGGTCTTTGATGCATTTGAACTTAAGGTTTGTGCATGGTAATAGATATGAGTCTATCTGCAATCTTCTACATGTCAGCATCCAGTTATGCCAGCACCGTTTGTTGAAGATTCTTTCTTTTTTCCATTCAATAATTTTAGCTTCTGTGCCAAAATCAGGTGTTTGTAGGTATGTGAATTAATATCAGAGTTTTCAGTTTGATTACATTGGTCTACATGTCTGTTTTTGTGCCAATTCCAAGCTGGGACCTTATGCCTCAGTCTGAGTGGACTTGACATAAAGAAAGCTAGATTCAGGTGTTGTCTACAACCCATAGAGGAACACAACAACAAAGCCAGAGAGTGAAGGCACAGGGTCTGTAGGGGAAGAGGTTGGGTAGGCATCACCCCGACACCATCCACTGGAAATGCGATCAGATGTGTAATGTCAGTAATCCAGGGTAATGTTGACAACTGAAGAGAGAGAGAGAGAGAGAGAGAGAGAGAGAGAGAGAGAGAGAGAGCCGTATAGTAGAAATGACAAGTGTGGGGACATTGAGAACATGAAGGTCCTGTGCAGACCTCCTACAATTAGCACAAGAAGACATTCACCCACAAACCTAGTCTGAGCAGCCGACCCAGCTGCTCGGGACAGTGGACCTCATCCCAGTCAAATACGAAGTCCCATTTATATTGATCTCTCTCTTCCCTTCTAGCTTTCCTTTGGAACTGTGGGCGGTTTGCCACCCCCGGTCAGCCAACTATTGAATCAGTGCCACCTACCATTGCTGAAGGAGGAAGTGTCCTTCTACTTGTTCGCAACCCCCCAGAGAATATTATAGCCTTCGCCTGGTTCAAAGGAATGACTGTGATAAAAACCCAGGAGATTGCCCGGTATATAACAGATAAGAAATCACCTGTGACAGGGTCTGCGTACAGCGGCAGAGAGACGATGTACCAGGATGGATCCCTGCTGCTTCACGGGGTCACTCAGAAAGACCCTGGGCTGTACACGCTACGAATTCTGAGGACAGATATGACAAGTGAGATGGCTCACGTGCAACTCCAGCTGGACAGTAAGTAACTCTCGGTGACTGTTCAGCGCTGGGCGGGGCTTAGACACACAGGACTGTCATGGCTGGCTTAGCCTTCCCTCCCTCTGCATCGTGTCCCCTTGGGAAAGGCTTGAGCACTTGGTGCAGGACGCACTGGTAGAGACAAATGGCCATAGAGCGGCTGCCGTGTTCTGACGATGCTTGCATCAAGGTCTTCCTTGATGGAAAGTAACTCAGCCTGAGATGTCAGAGTCAGCCCAGGCTCTCGGGGCTCAAGACCAGACTGGGTCCTGTCATCTTCCCAAGGTGGGACTAAAGTGACCCAGGGGAGCGTTTTTCTACTGCTCTACCATTACATCCGCTCTAAGCTGACAGGGAACAATGGTTTTGGAACATCCATGTGAAACTGGGGCATTTATTAGCTCCAAATTGAGAGTGTCACACACAAAATCCAGGCGCTGGTACGGAGAGCATGGAGGAGTGCTTCCTACTGCCTGCTCCTCATGGCTGCTCAGCCAGCTCTCCCATATCACCCAGGATCCTAACCCAGGGGTTAACTGCCTGCATTGTTCTGAATACTTTTGCATCTACACCCACTTTAAAAAAATGTACTACAGTTTTGCACACGGCAATCTTGTGGTGTATTTGTCAACTGAGGCCTTGTCTTGCAAAATGCAACTGGCATCAATAAATAAACTCAGCCAGCATAATACTCAAGCCTTTTAAAGACCCGAGCCTGCCTTGAAGATCAGACTCCTCCCAGGACCCATACAGCCCCAGTCCTGTAGCGATACTTTGTGCTCTAACAAATAAACCTTGCCTTAAGATCAGAGGGTAGAGATATCCGCTAGAGTTCTTATCTTTACGAAGTCATCAGACCTAAAAGGGGGTGAGCGTCTCTCCTTAGCTGTCTCAAATTCCTCTTTCTGCCCAGCCATATCACTTCCTGTTTCCTCCTCTCTAGTGCTGGGATTAAAGGCATGCATCTCCCAAATCCTGGGTCAAGGGCATGAGGTTCCAAGTGCTGGGACAAAGCTGTGTGCCGTCACCGCCTGGCCTCTATGGTTAACTAGTGGATAGCTCTGCACTCTGATCTCCAGTCAATGTTTATTTGTTAGAATACAAACAAGATAGACCTAAAGGCTACTTGACATAGCAGCAAGTGCATGTATTAGGTGAAGACAGGTGTTGAGTGTTGCCTCAAAGGAAACAGAAGAAAAAAGCCTAGAAAGGGACAGTTTCAGGTCTGCCGTGTTCAGGGGAGGCATCTTCTCAAACCCCAGTGTGCAAGTGTGTGCACAGTGTCTGACTGAGGGCAGCGAGGGAGCCATGTAGACACCCAAGGGGACAGTTCCACGCAGTGAACCTCACACTTTCAGGAGCACTGTTGGAAAGGAGGAGGTTATGTTTCCACACTTCATTAAGTGAGTTAGATACACACCTGCAACTCTAGGCTGAGTGATGACTCCATCTGCTCAGGATGGAGGTCAATGTCTTTTCACCAAGCACAATTATACCTACGTGATGGCTTTTTTTTTTGTCTTTTCTCTTCCAGCCTCTCTTTCTCTGTGTTGTAATCCTCTCACTTCTTCCCAACTCATGATCCAACCAGTGCCCCAGTATGTTGCTAAAGGGGAAAACGTTCTTCTACAAGTTCATAATCTTCCAGAAGATCTGCAAGCCTTTTCCTGGTACAAATCGATATATAGGGGCCAGGTTCTTAAAATTGTAGAATACAGCAATATTATACATTTCATCTCCTGGGAGCCTGAATACAGAAATAGAGGGACGGTGTACAATAACGGATCCCTGCTGCTCGAGAACGTCACGAAGAAGGATGCAGGAATGTATGCACTAGCAGTTTTAAACAAAGATTTCAAAATAGAAGAGGCGTATGTGAAGTTTTATGTGAACAGTAAGTGGTTCTCTGGTTTCTAGATGCTGGGCATGGCTTATCTCACTTAATGCACTGAACTGTCAGGTTGGATTGTCTATAATCTGTCCCACACTGCATTGTGTCAGTGGGCTCCTACTGCAGGACACACATAGGGTAGATAAACAGCAGTAGATCAGAACCCCTCACTTGTGCTGGGAAAACTCAGCCCCAGGATATCAGCCTCAGTGTAGACACTTGGAGCTCTCACACACGTCCCCAGAAAGACTCTGTAGGAGTCAGGCAGTCCCTGGCTGATAAAGCCTTGGGGTCCTCACAGAGAGTGCCTGGAAACTCTGACTCCAAAACTCTTCCACTGGCTGGAATCAAGGTGATGTTGGAGTTTTTTTTTTTTTTTCTCTTTTATAACCGTTTGTTTAGATTGTCTGTCTGAGCCCACAGGGAACAAGGCTTTATTGATTGTTCAAGTCATGGAACTGACTATCCCATAGAATGTAGAACCAGCTGTATACTGCCATGACAGCTGCAGTTAGGTAGCCACCTGTGTATCTCCTTCTCCTGAGGCTCAGTGGGCAGATATCCCGGCCATTAGCCTCTTGTTCTGGTGGGTTTATGAGACTTCACAGGAAGGTCAATGCAACAAGGGTAGAAACAGAGGAGGCAGCTGCTGTAGATGCCTTTTTCACCTCGGGGTTCCAGCCTAGGAACTTTTCTTCTGCAACTAAATAGTGACAGACGTTGCTGATGTGAGCAGCTCCCCACCCCAAGGTCAAATCATTGCTCATAACCAAGCTTATCCCATGGACACAGCAATGACCATTCACTGTGTGTCCCATTATAGAAAAACTGAGGCGCAGTGCCTGAATCAGGGTCACACAGTCCCTGGGTGGCAGATCCATAGCACAATCTATGTCTATAGTCAGGGCTGTAAATCCTGCCCCCCTCGAAATTTGTAAAGTACGGAACGAAGAGGGCCTGGTTGAACATCGTGGATGCCTGTCATTTGGTACCCTCCTCTGTTCCTTTACAGAGTATGTGACACGGCCCTTAGTGCGAATCACCGATACCACAGTTGCAGGACGTAGGTCTGTGGTCTTCACCTGCGCTTCACCTGATACTGACATCTCCATCCGTTGGATCTTCAATAACAAGACTCTGCAGCTCACAGAGAGGACAGTTCTGTCCCCAACAAAGTGTGGACTCAAAATAGATCCTGTGAAGAGAGGAGATGCTGGAGAGTACAAGTGTGAGGTCTCCAACCAGTTCAGTATGAAGACCAGCCTTCCAGTCAGCCTGGCTATGATGAACGAGTGACTTCTTCTCGTCCTACTGCAGAGTGGGGGCAGTAGTTTTTATCAGTTGGGTACAAAGTAGAGAAAAGTTACTACCCAGGTACAGCCAGCATGGTGACTGGTGCCTATAACCCTGGGATTCACATGTGCACAAGGGAAGGCCAGGGTTTAAAGGGAGGCTGTCTTAAAATGAAAATAAAGACATCAATATTGTAAACAAGAGTCAAAGGTCTTAAGAGCTTAGGCTGTGGTTCAAATATACCTCAGAATTCATGTGAACTTATTTCAGGATCCCTCACTGCGAGTCTGCCGTGAAAATGGTGCATTGTTTGCATAGAGAAAAACATCCCCTCACATGCTCCAGTACAGTCCCTGTCTAACTAATTTACCTAAGCCCAATGCTGCCTGCACGCCATTCACCCGTGTGAAGTGAGAAAGTGTGGCAGGAGAGGGGTCTGCCCATGTTTCACTGTGGACATGGCTGGCTTCTGGATAGCTTTGACCCGCCGTTTGATGAAGAAAAAACATCCTTCACGTCATGGCAGATCATACTGTTTCCAACTTCAGGATGGCATTCACAGTGGAGTCCTGCACATACGTGCTCTCCTGTTAATGTATATTCCCCTTCCCATTTTCTTCTCAGATGTTTTATCCCAACCAGTTTCCCTCCCCTCCTGTCTTCCCTAACCCCCACTTGCCCTCTACCTCTGATCAACTTCTCTTCTGTTTCAAAACAATGAGCAGACCTCCCAGGCATATCCACAGAACATGGCACAGCAAGTTATAGTAGACTTGCCACACACAGTCCTTGTATCGGAGTTGGGCGGGGCAACCCAGTAGGAACAATAGGAATCAGAGATGTCCCCCATACCCGCTGTTTGGAGTTCCACAAGAATACCCATCCACATTACTATAACTAATGTGCAGAGTCCCTAGCTGAAACCCATGCAAAGTCCCCGATCATCACCTCAGTTTCCCTGATGGTTTATAATCCATGCTCAATTGATACTGTGTTCCAACTTTTCACAGGGTCCTTGTCCACTCCGGTTCTTTAGTCCATTCTTTCTGTGGGGTTCTCCTGCTGCCGCCAAGTGTTTGGCTGGCTGTCTCTGAATCTGCTGTCATACATGCTGGCTGGTGCCTCTCTGATGACTATTAGGCTAGGCACGTATCAGGTCAGCTGTCTCTGTGGGTTTCTGCAGCCTGGTCTTGACCCCTTTGCTCATCACTCCTCCCTCTCTGCAGCTGGATTCCAGGAATTCAGCTCACTGTTCAGCTGTGGGTGTCTGCTTCTGTTTCCATCAGGTTCTGGATGAAGGCTCTAGGATGGTATATAAGACAGTTCTCAATCTCACTATCAGAGAAGGTTATTTAAGGTATCTGTTGAGGTTTGGTATGTTGCCAAGTATGTGGTTGATTTTAGAGAAGGTTCTATATGGAGCTGAGAAGGTATATTCTTTTGTGGATATATATATATATATATATATATCCATATATATTATATATATATATCCTTCTTATTTTACATATCAATCCCAGTTCCCTCTCCCCACTCCCATCCCATCTCCCCCCACTCCACAGGGAGGATGATACCTTCCAGGAGGGATTATCAAAATCTGTCAAGTCATTTGGAGAAGGGTCTAGGTACTCCCTCCTGCCTCTCGGCTAAGGGAGTATCCCTCCATGGGGAATGTGCTCCCAAAGTCCTTTTGTGCACCAGGGATACATCCTGGTTCCACTGTCAGAGGTCTCTTAGACTGCCCAGGCCTTCTAACTGAGACCCATGTTCAGGGGGTCTGAGTTGGTCCAATGCTGGTTTCCCAGCTATCAGTCTGGCGTCCATTAGCTCCCCCTTGTTCAGATCAGCTGTCTCTGTGAGTTTCTGCAGCCTGGTCTTGACCTCTTTTTTTTTTATCACTCCTCCCTCTCTGCAACTGGATTCCAGTTCAGCTCAGTGTTTAGCTGTGGGTGTCTGCTTCTGTTTCCATCAGCTACTAGATGAGGGCTCTATGATGGCATGTAAGTTAGTTATCAATCTCATTGTCAGGGAAGGGCATTTAGGTAAGCACCTTCACTGTTGTTCAGATAGCTAGTTGGGGTCATCCTTGTAGGTCTCTGGACATTTCTCTAGAGTCACTTTTCTCTTCAATCCTATAATGGCTCCCTCTACTATGTGAGGGCGATCTGGCTGGGACATCTGTCACCCCATTGATTGCCTGGGTCGATTAGGCTGATCTGGCTGGCTAGGCAGGTGTCCCCTTCCTCCCTCAACACTCCATGTGTGTCCCTCCCGAAGGTGTGCGCTCGTCGAAGAGGACGACCTTCCCCGAATAGAGTAGCTGGGTTCCCCTGCTAGAACTTCCAAACAAGCTCTCTATTCTTTTGTGTTTGGATGGGATGTTTTATACATATCTGTTAAACCCAACTGGGACACGACTAACTTCTGTTTGTTTGTTTCTTTGTTAAGTTTCTCTCTGGTGGTCCTGCCTAGTGGTGAGAGTGTGGTGTTGAAGTCTCCCACTATGAGTGTGTGAAGTTTTATGTGAGCTTTGAGTTTTAGTAGGGTTTCTTTTACTAATGTGGGTGCCTTTTTATTTGGGGCATAGATGTTCAGAATTGAGACTTTGTCCTGCTGGACTTTTCCAGGACTTATCCTAGATATTAGGATAGCTACACCAGCTGGTTTCTTGGGTCCATTTTATTGGAAGATCTTTTCCCAACTTTTACTCTGAGGTAGTATCGGCCTTTGAAGTTGAGGTGTATTTCTTTTCTTTTCTTTTTTTTTTTATTTTTTTAGGGTTTATTTTATTTTATTTAATTTTATATAACAAAGTCCAATTAAATGAAAACAAACATTTATAAACAATATTTGGGAATTTGGGCGTCGTTCTTTCCAAACTACTTCCTGCTGGTAAGGGGCGCTGTCTTGGGGGATTCGAAGAAGATTCAGATATCCTGGTTCAGGTGAAGTGGGGGAGGACAGCGAATGGAGAGAGAAGTAGGAGAAAATGAGGGGGAGGAAAGGAAAACATGCGCGACCAGGAAGATTGAGCCTGGTTAGGAATAGAAGATAGGAAAGAGAGAGAGAGAGAGAGAGAGAGAGAGAGAGAGAGAGAGAGAGACAGATAGACAGACAGACAGAGACAGAGAGAGAGAACATAAAGAGGGAGCCAATATTGGTTTGAAGATAAAATTGAACACAAAGAAAGGTCTAGAGAACTACAAGACTGCTCCCAATTAACAATTTGAGCTTCCCTGGAAAGGCTATCATAAATGCCCTTTCCGGAGAGTGAGATCAACAACTAACTTCTCCATGGAGCCCTCAACTAATGCCTGTTGAAAACAGGATCAAACACCCATACATAAACACTGAGTCGAACTAGAACCCAGATGCAGATGGAGAGGACAAGACCATCCGGCAGAAACACATACAGACGGCTTACCTGAACAAGGAGGAGCTAATGGCCACTAGACTGATAGCTGGGAAGCCAGCATGGGACTGAATCAGGCCCCCCTGAATATGGGTCTCAGCCAGAAGGACTGAGCAGTCTAAGAGACCTCAGACAGTGGAGCCAGGATGTATCCCTGGTGTATAAAAGGACTTTGCGAACATATCCCCCATGGAGGGATAACTGCCTTAATCTAGAGACAGGAGAGAAGCCCTAGTCCCTACTTCACAGGACCTGTCAGATCTACATGACCCCAACTGGATGGCATTCCCCTACATATGGAATTGGGGTGGGGGATGGGAGGGGAGGGTGGTTAGAGTGCATGTGAGAGGGCAGAGAGGGTAAAAGGGAGGGAAGGAGGGAGGGAGGGAGAGGGAACTGGGATCGACATGCAAAATAATAAATTAAATTAAAAAAATGCTTTGACTCCAAAATTTAAGTTCAATGACAAGTTACTGGGGAAAAAGATTTCTATTTTTGTTTCCACACAAAATGAAAAGATGTGGATTCCTTCCAGACTAATGTGGTTTGATCACGCCAGACCGCCTGAAACGGAGTACCAGGTGATCCTACATTCAAAACAGCTGGACAAAGCAGCCTTACAGACTACAGCCAGGATATCTGAATCTTCTTAGAATCCCCCAAGACAGCGCCCCTTACCAGCAGGAAGTAGTTTGGAAAGAACGACGCCCAAATTCCCAAATATTGTGTATAAATGTTTGTTTTCATTTAATTGGACTTTGTTATATAAAATAAAATGATAAAATAAAATAAAAAAAGATTAAAAAAAAAAAAAAGGAATCAGAGGACCAGGATGTTTACTGTGAGGTTGTGTGTTCTATATATGACAAGGAAGCTGCACCCAAAAATTCTCAAATACGTGGCTGTCCAAACAAGACCTAAACACTGACAACACAATCTTTCAGGCCACCACGGATGAGAAAATCCCTCCGGGCTCCACCCAAAGTAAAGAGCTACAGCAGTTAATGAGTGCTGAGGGAAAATCAGTTTTCTCCATTGATGAGCCTCTGATAGATTATCCAATTCCAAATGGTCAGCTATAAACAGATGTACACATGAGCAATACTAAATGGGCCCAGCTTATTATAGTTATTTATTAGTTTTCCAAAATAAGAGTATATTAATAATATCAGTAATTATAAAAGAGTCACAATTTTGAATTTGAGAGATAGAGATAGAGAGTGGAAGGCATGGGAGGTGGAAGAGGGTGAAACTGAGGCAAGCAAATGATATAAATACAGTAAGCATGTGGGAAATTCTAAAACAAAAAGCAATAGAATCACAGGCAAATGGATAGAACTCAAAGAAACCATCCTGAGCGAGGTAACCCAGTCACAAAAAGAGGAACATGGTATGTACTCACTCATATATGGATTTCAGACATAGAGCAAAGGATCACCAGCCTATAATTCACAACACCAGAGACAGTGGGGTAAAGGAGGAACCTAAGAGATTCATACAAGGTCCCTCACAGAAGGGGAAATGGGCAATATCTCCTGAGCACATTGGGAGTGGGGGGCAGTGAGTGGAGAGGGGGCTAGGAGAAAGAGAA